CCGCAGGGCTCTCTCTCTCTCTCTCTCTCTCTCTCTCTCTCTCAAGTTTGGATTAAAATGGCAAATTAAAAGAACATATATTAAGTAAATTAATCAATAAATCAGATTTTTGAAATGTGATACATTCCCTTTGTACTTTCCTCAATAAAAAGTATAATTCAACTTGTTCTTTATTACTTTCTGCAAAGGAGGAAATGGAATTGCTGTTTAGTAGACTCTCATATGCTGACTCGATTTCCTTTTAACCAAAAGTAACGTCTGACATTTATGCCCTGTTACAGCAGTGCCTGATCTTACAGAGCCTGCTTTGTTGGTGAAATCTGCTGTATGCAGGTGTAAACATGGGGCCCTATAATGCAGGAAGAGCAGTCACTGTCACTGTGTGCTATTTTTCAAAGAGGAAGTGGTAGAGAACTCAGCGGTACAGCTGACGTTGAAGCTGGAAGTGAAACTGACGTTGTTTCTCAGCAGTCAGTCAGTATTTACGCAGCAGATGAAGATGGACAAGTTTAAGACTGTTCTGAACATTGCAGGCAAACAGACCAACCTTGGTTTTGGCCTGATAGCTCTGCTGACAGCGGGAGGAGAGCAGATATTCTCTGCAGTGGTATTTAAGTGTCCCTGCAACGAGCTGAACTTCGTCTATGGGTTGGTGTTCCTGCTGGTGCCGGCTCTGGCTCTGCTGCTGCTGGGTTACATCCTCAGTAAGAAAACGTGGAAGCTGCTGACGGGTCTGTGCCAGCATACGGGCAAGCTGTTGTGCTGCAAGAAGCTGGCAGCCGCTGGTGTGGTCCTCTTTCAGATCGGCACCTTTGCGTTTGTTGCGCCTTCTACTTGGATAGCTGTAGCTTTACTCAATGGAAACTACTACGAGTGCGCCATGACGGGTACCAATGTGAGCATTTACAACAAACACGTGTGCAGAGATCCAGACTCTAAGATCCAGTGTGAGAAGGAGCTGCACAGGTTCCCGTGTGGGAAAAGCGTCAGTGTACCTCAGGCTGTCAGAGAAGATGTTCTGCTGAATCTCCGAGCTGAGTCTCAGGTACGTGAAACGCTCTGCTGCTTTTCACACTCGTGTGAAAGAGATCTTTAGATCTGTTTGGGTTTGTTATCTAAAAACTATCAGCAAACTGAACGTTAGTTGTTCAGTAGAACAGCTGGAGATGCCTGTGGTGTAAATGCTTTGATTCTCATTGGTATTGTTTATCATATTTGTAATGTTATTATTTGTGTTACTTAATTCTGCAGCGGTTCCCAGTTGTGTTCATGTTCTCTCAGAGTTACTCTCCTGTTTATACAATCTGCTATAATCTGC